TTATTATTGTACAATCTACTGTACAATATAAAGCACCTTGAGGCGACTGTTGTTGTGATTTGGCGCTATATAAATAAAATTTAATTGAATTGAATGTTTGGTACTCTGGTACTCTAAAGACTACTAGAGTAGAAACTATACTGTACAGAAGAAAAAGGTTCAGTCAGTGTTCTTTCAGGTGTTCATCACTGAGAAAGGACAGGTGAAGGCAAGTCGCACAACTCAGAAGCAGCTGTGGCATTTTGGGGGAATTCATCGATGGTTCATCAGGAGGTTCAGTAAGGTTGTCTTACCACTCGCCAGTCTAAACTCACCTTACTTCATTTCTGGTTTCCATGCTTAGACAGAGTCAAAGGGCCAAACCGGGAGCTGTGTGGTACCGAACAGTCGGCCCACCTGAAGCTCACAACTAATGGAACTCAAAGATCTCCACAGCCACACGTCTTTCTCAAAGCATTCCTCAGTTACGAGCTCCAATGTTCCCATCTCAGGAGTGTGAGTTTTCAGTCTATTGGTCATTACCTTCATTGATGTTTCTGGTTAAGGAGAGCATCCCATGTACCATTACTAAGAACACACTGCCACCATATTCCAGCACCTATCTAATCTCCAAGTGAGAAAGTCTTTCAAAAGTGATTAATTACAAACTTAGTTTAAAAACTGTCTCTTGTTTACATTAGTGGATTTGAAACTGAGGCAATCAGCAACCCGTCCATCTAAAGCCACCCAAACACTGGGCTGCCACTGGCCAATCAAAGCACTCTATTCTCAAATTTCAGACAGTCATTGTCAAGTACTGAAGAAATGAATACATTGTTAACCAGGCTCAATGTGCAGCAGTGTATTTTACAAGCAGCTTCCCCCTCCACATCACTAAATATATGCATCATATCTATTTTTGACTAAATGAGTGGCAAACTGCAAGGAACACAGGAGGTGGGCACAAAGTCAGACACAGGAATGTGATGGAAGATCTGTTCACTGAGCCTCTATTGCCACTTTCTATTTCTATGGTACATACTACTGAAATGTTAGAAGCATTGTCATGTTCAAGCTGCTACGCATTGTGCTCTATACTGCCACATCAGGGTTTGGCCTTCCTCTCAGTCATACAACCCTCTGTGTTTCTGATCCATGTGGGTCTTCGTAGTCACCAAAGTCTTTAAGCTTCATATTACTCTTACAGTCAATACACTGACTACAACAAACAACTAAAATCTAGCTTAAAATCTATATCCTAGATTTTGGCATTCGGCACTATGGGATAATAGGTGTTATTTGCTTTAGCTATAGGTAGTTAGGTTGTAGCTTGTTATTGTCTTTACATCATTATTAAAATAGTTAAAAAACAGCCAACATTAAGAGAAACACAATAAAGCAACCCAAACGTATCATTCAGTATGAAACTAACCCACTTCTACACATGTAAAGAGCAGTTAGGAGGTTAGACTGAGCTTCAGTGAGTCAGAAGGTTAGCACCACGTTACACCCTTAGGAGGTGAACAGGAAACCAAGCTGTCCTTATAGGAAGAGGAAACTCACCACCGTGGGGCTCAGAGGCATTGTAAGATGTGTCATTGTATGGCTCCTCTAGAAACAAGAGGCACACACAGTGGCACATCAATCTGCATAAAAACACTCACACAACCTGACAACAATGTTCAATGTAACAATGTTCAGTGTAACAATGTTCAATATAACAATGTTCAGTGTAACAATGTTCAGTGTAACAATGTTCAGTGTAACAATGTTCAGTGTAACAATGTTCAATGTAACAATGTTCAATGTAACAATGTTCAATGTAACAATGTTCAGTGTAACAATGTTCAAGCAAACTGTTGGAAGAACGATCCAACATTTCACAATCTGGTCTTTCAGAGGCAGCATTAGGAAATCATCACAAAGGTTATGGTTTCGTGCATGTCATGTCATAACATCCTCTCCAGTTAGATAGATGGGGTCTTACTCTACTTGGGTTAAAGTAGTGTATGTGTTCAAAACAGACAAAGCAGATAAGAGTTTAGCAGGAAACAGCAGCTCTAACGACACAACAGCAATAATCACTTTGGCAACTGACTGCTTCAGGATCCAACTCGTAATTAGTTTGTGTGTGTGTGTGTGTGTGTGTGTGTGTGTTGCATACTTACTGGTCTGAACTTTGAGTTTGTATGGGTTCTTCTCCTGGATGGTGTGTGTGAACAGAAAGCGAGCTTTACAGCTGTAGTCTGTGTTTGCATCTTGGGCCAAAACATTGGAGAAGTAGAGGTCTCCATTAAGACCCATGGACACTCGTTTATCCTGAGGGATTGGACTCATATCTCAAGGTCACAAGAACAGACAGAAATGAAGAATAAGAGAGAAGGAATGAAACCACATCGATAAGTTTAGGATTTCATATATCAGCTGCAAGTTCAATAATGTTCAATGCTAGATTGGATCTGGGCAGCTGAAAAGATGTAAAACAGGTTTTTGGCTGTAAAGTGGTCCTTCCAGGTCATTAAACAGACATGTCTTTATTTTTAAATCTGGTTGAGTCAAAGTGCCTTCCTTCCATTTTTTAATACCTATGCAAGATTTCCTCTTGCAATGAAAGAATGCAAAGAGGGGCCATGTCATCCGAGCAGCTGGGACTAATAAAACAAATACAGACCACTTCTATATTTGCCACAAGTGTGTCTATGTTTGATCTAGAGTTTGACGACATTTCTCAACTAGACTGAGTGCAACAGATGGTTATCCAACATTTTGATGTCGTTTAAACTTCCAATTCAGTTAAAACACAATGATGTCACTCCTTAAAAGCGTCCTGACATGTGACAAAGTTATCTTTCCAACAATTTTTTGTTAGGTCCAATATTTGCACCCAATATTTTCGTTGTTGCATGGACTCTGCTTGGTATTATATGCTTTGTTGTGTCATCCATATATAGCTGCTTGAAGTATTACCATGACACATAAGTGATCTCTGGAAAAGCCAAAATGTCAACCTACAAACACAGAAGTAACAATCTCTTCAAGGCTACTGGAGACAGTTTGCTGCTTCTATTTTCACATATAACTCAAATCAACATCAGCTCAAGCAAAACTGGTATGGCCCAGATCTGCCCCACACAACGTGCTTACACATGGCCCACATAGTGCAAAGAATGACGGCCCTTTGGTGGCCCAGATCTGGTTTGCCAGAGGTGGCCCACACACGAGCCAGCACATGGCTCGTGTTGCAGACACACTGGTGGTCCTGTGCTGGCCCAGAACAGTTTCAACTCTGGGCCCAGATGTCAGCCTAATGTGTACCTTAATCAAGCCGTGTAATAACAACATGTGCCAGAACATAATAGTGCAAAAGTAACATGACGAAACTCTGTTCAGACTGATTGTTACATAGCACTTTTCTACTCTCCTGGATTACTCAAAGCACTCTATACAACATGCCACATTCACACCCTTTCCATAAACTGAGTGCTTCCTAACTGCATTTATACACTTTTATGCAGACTGGAGGAACCAGGGATCAAACCACTAACCTTCCGATCACTAGATGACCTGCTCTACCTCCTGAGCTACAGCCACCCGGTGGTAAACATGAGTAAACCCTCACTAGGTTTTGGATAAAGTGTACACTCACAAACAGTCAGCTTGATGCTGGATCCAGCTTGATGCTGGATCCAGGCCAGAGCTGTTTTCTGTGAGCCTGGGCCACATACACCAAACCACAATTGGGCCAGACCTGTCTGCTATGTGGGATGCTGATGTGTTATTCTACAGTCACTACAGACAATCCTCCAGTACACCCACACAGATGTCAAGGCGAAACATCCCCCATTGTAAGTGTGCGATGGGTGACATAACCCATCTGACTGTTAACACAGAGCCCCAGGACCAATCAGCAGCTGGGCCAGCAATCCTAATGATGCATCGGTGTGTCTGCTCTGGCTTCCTGTTGTTTGTTTATGACTGTGTTTGTGTCACAAGCTTTATGGTGAACAGGTCTGTTCAGGTTAACAGCCATTTACAGCAATGTCAGTTTCCAAGCAGGACAAATGTCCAGTCTATATTTCAGTTTCAGTTTTACATAGAGAATTATAGACTGGACTGAATAAAAATTGGTATTGTTCAACTAAATAGCTTCTTGCCTCTGGCTGTAAAACAGCTAATGGCTGAACATGAGGCCTGCTCTGTCAGCTAACAGTGGCATGAACTTGTGCAGACGCAGCCTAAGGACCAGAGCAGCACGAGGCGCCGGGAATCAGAAAAAACATCACTTTATTTAGGACACAGGAGTCCTAAATAAAATGCACCTCATACATCAAGCTAGCTGTGCTGAAGAACTTTAACAAAGCAATCAGGTTATCCCTAAGAATGAATGACTGATAGGTGAAGCCAGTCTGGGTTCAGATTCCTACAAGTGTCTCTCTAACAGCGAGGAAACGCATACCACATGCTACGAAAAAGAAGAGGGTTTAGTGATTGGGGGAGTTTGAAACTCACTGCTGTCCATCCAGAAGGTGAACGGAGGAGGCAGACCTGGTGGAGGGTTGCAAGGTAGAACCAGTGCGGAGCCTTCAGTCACAGATACTGGCTCCAGCACCTCCTTAGGCCACAGAGGAGCCTCTGGAGGATTGGGGAAATATGAACAACAGGATTCAGCTACTAGTTCAAAATATAAGAAATACAATTAGCACTGAGCTGTTGGTGCAGATAGTTATCTGTCACCATCCATGAATCCACTTATTACTCCAAAGTTTCAAGGGGTGTGTTCTGCATATCACAAATGAATGAATGACATGTAAACAGCAATTAGTGTGTTCTGTGATCTTACTGGAGACCCGGAGCAGGATTTTGTTGGACAGAGACACTCCAAAGTCATTGGTGGCAAAACACTGGTATTCTCCCTCGTAGTCCTCTGGCCGACCTCCGCTGCGGAAGCCAATCTCCAGGGTTCCCGAGCGTTTTCGCATCGTCACCCTGGGATCTTTCCCAATATTGAAAAACTTCCCATTTCTTCGCCATGAAAACCTAAGATTCAGTTGAAGAAATCAAAGAATTATATCTCTTATAACCTTGTTTTCCAAGAGCAGACATTATCTATGTGTAACCACACTGAGGCAGGAAACACCGGGCAAAATATAACCACAAATAAACAGCAGCTCTCATAGCTGGACTGGCCATCGGGCATACCGGGCATTTGCCCGGTGGGCCGCTGGCGATTTTTTGTTTTTATGGGCCGATGGATTTTTTTTTTTTTTTTAGGAAGGGTATATATAATGAAAGGTGTTGGATTGGCCAATTGGTCATGATCGACTCTGGGCTGGACCAATTACAGCCAAGGAGGCCGGATGCACCCTCCCCCTTGTTTAGCAATCACGTGATTTTCGCGCAATGCATGCCGGGAACTCGTGGCAAAACAATCCAAGTACCGCATCAAATGCAAGCATTTGCAGCACCGCAAAACGTTCATTCTTCGGTTCCAATAAAGTCTTGCTTTTTCTTTGACGCACAAAAAAGGAATGTACAAGACAAAAGGAGAACAATGCCGGTCCGTACAAAGACAGACTTGAGGAAAAGTCAAAGATAGGAGGAAAAAATCAAAGGAGTGAAAGGGTCAGACCCTTACGAGCACACAGAGTGGACAAAAGACGTTAGCGTGCTGCCCAACTTTCACCACGCTCAGATTTATAATTATACGGTTCTTGGAGTGAGTGCATACACTCATGAAGTTTAGTAACTTCAGGTCACGGCAACAAGCCCAGGTACAGTTTACCGACGGATGGGTGCAGGACCTTGAAATGCACCGTGTAGAAAGTAAAGACCATCGTACGAACAAAGGTAAGTTTACCAGTCTCACAAATCATCCTCATAGATACACATTCGTTAACCGTTTATTAATAGGACCTTTGAGCTCAACGGTAATTAATTAGTAGTGGAAATAATTTCTGGTTCATCACAGAAATGTAGCAGTGACAATAATATTGTATGCTGTAATCGTACTGGACAATTAGTGATACAAAACAACTGTTTTATCCTGTGAATAAAAGTATGTTTTTGTCAATGTACCATAATAACAGAAGCGAAACGCAATATTGTGTCAGGACAATTCACTATTTATGCACAATAAACAAAGGAGCATAGCGCGACAATTTCTGTTCAGCGCCAGACTTGCTTGTAACCTATGTCACCAATTATGTTATGAAAAATGACGCATTAACTACAACAGCAGACTGACCTTTGTGGAAATGCTTGGAGCAGACTAACCTGTGAGCTGGAGTGTTCTGGGACGTTATATTTGGTCTTTGAATGGCTGCAATCCAGGCCACCCGTCGCCTCTTTGTTACTTTGGAAACATGGCTCCAAAAATTTCTTTTCAACGACGTAATCCGATAACAACCGATCTCTTTACCCGTCGGCTTCCCGTGGCTGTCATGCGACCGGCTATTGCAGTTAATAATACAACAGCTTCTTGACATTTTTGTGTTTCTTTTTATCGCTGTGTAACTGAGTTCAATTGAAAGCCTGCGTGCGCTAGTACCTCTTGCCACGAGTTCCCAGAATCCTTTGCGGTTTTACCCCTGAATGACGTCACATTTTCAATCTTTATCCTGGTGGGTCGGTCTCTAGTCAAAATGCCCGGGCCGATTTTTTGTCCCAGTCCAGCCTTGGCAGCTCTCCAAATAATAAAAGGAAAAAAATCAAACTCAAATTAGATTTTTTGTTTGTGTTTTACATTATTTATACGTTTTTCTCTGAAAGTGTCTGATTGTTTAGACGTATGTTTTGCTTTTTCATTTGAGCTGAAACTTCAGTTGAGACGACATGATGATGATGATGATGATGATGATGAGCCTGTATTTGTCACACGCACATGTTCACATGCTTCATGTCGATGCTAAATGTTGCACTTTGCTTCACGTTGCTTAGAACGTCCACATTTTGACTTTTACTCAGTATTTTCTCCTATTTGTCCACTCAGGACTGCACTGTACAATTTCTTTACCCAATGTTGTCGTATAACAGCTTGTGTGTGTATACATTTTGTTTGTTTTTAACTACCTCTGTCTAGTCTATTTTGTAGTGTGTTTGTAAAAAAGCACAATTTCACCACACCATTGCAAGCTAAGGTTTTTTTTCTTCTCAGACTGGAAGTCCAAATGAAATCCCAGTAAGTCATATTTGTAGAAATAAGTGATGTTAAGAACAAAATCTTTTCCTTTCAGAAAAGGTAAATTACAATATCATTTCTGTGAGTGTAAGGCTGTTTATATTAAACACATCAGACACCAAGGACACACTAACACTGTGATAATGATCTTTTCATTGTTTAACAAGCAGAAATGCCAAAGTTCTCTGCTTGTTACCAGGTGACATAAGGTACTGCTGATCAATGCACTCGACTAACTGTTCAGAAGAAACCAATACGTGACATGTACACTGGGACCACCAGTATAAAAGCCGATGTTTGGCAGTTTTCTGGTATGCTAAAAAGGAAAGACCACAGAAATAATCTTAGTGATGCAACTGGTGCTGCCCAACATGGACACAACACGATTTCCAGAACAAATAAAAGTCCCTCATTCAACAGTGAGAGTGATCGTGCACAAATGGAAATCAAGCCTCCCAGGATATACATACCAACCAAGGTCACCCTGAGGTCACACAACACTCAGAGAAACTGCAAGAACTCCAGAGGCTACATCTTAGTACGTTCAAAGGTACAGTACAGTTTGTCAAAGGAGCTTGCAAAGAAAAGCGTCTGGACTTCTTTAAGTTGCTTGAAGACGTTTCACCTCTCATCCGAGAAGCTTCTTCAGTTCTAAGGTCAAATGGTGGAGAGTCCCAGATATAAACCTAGTGGGAGTCCCCCCACAGAGGGACAAAAGGACCCCCTGATGATCCTCTAATCGCCTGAGCCAAGGTGTGAAACTGGGTGTGGGTCCCAATCAGCCAGAGTTTCGGGTGTGTTCATTGTGAAACCTGGCCCCACCTTATCATGCGAATTCCTGAGGTCAGATGGCCCAGGATGTGAGTGGGCGTTAAGGCATCTGGGAAGGGATCTCAAAACTGGATTATAGATGGCAGAGAGTTGGTGTCGTAAACCCCGCCTCTGTTCAAAGATGGTCGCTCACAGTGGACATAGATGCTTCTTTCACTCCTCTTTCAAACCATCTGTCCTCTCTGTCCAAAATGTGAACATTGGCATCCTCGAAAGAGTGTCCTTTGACCTTAGATGCAGATGGACTGCTGAGTCTTGTCCTGTGGAGGTGGCTCTTCTGTGTTGTGCCATGCGCTTGTGAAGTGGCTGTTTGGTCTCTCCAATGTAGAGGTCTGAGCATTCCTCGCTGCACTGTACAGCATACACCACATTGTTAAGTTTGTGTTTTGGAGTTTTGTCTTTCGGGTGAACCAGTTTCTGTCTGAGCGTGTTGCTGGGTCTGAAATGCACTGGGATGTCATGCTTGGAGAAAACTCTCCTGAGTTTCTCTGATACACCGGCTACATAGGGGATGACAATGTTGTTGCGTCTGTCCTTCTTATCCTCCCTCGCTGGTGTCTGGTCTTCTTTTCTGTGCCTCTTTGCTGACTTTAAGAACGCCCATTTAGGATAGCCGCACGTTTTGAGTGCTTCCTTTACATGTGTGTGTTCCTTCTTTTTTCCTTCAGGCTTAGAGGGAACATGTTCTGCCCGGTGGTGTAGGGTCCTAATTACTCCAAGTTTGTGTTCCAGAGGGTGATGGGAGTCAAAGAGGAGGTACTGGTCCGTGTGTGTGGGCTTCCGGTAAACTTCGATGTTGAGTTTGCCGTTCTCTTCAATGTGCACGGCGCAGTCCAGGAAAGGCAAACAGTTGTCCTTTGTGTCTTCCCTGGTGAACTTGATGTTTTTATCCACAGCGTTAATGTGCGCAGTGAAGGATTCCACTTCTTGTGTCTTGATTTTGACCCAGGTGTCGTCCACATATCTGTACCAGTGGCTGGGTACTCTTCCTTTGAAAGAGCCAAGAGCCTTCCTTTCCACTTCCTCCATGTAAAGGTTGGCTACAATAGGTGACACGGGGGAGCCCATGGCACAGCCATGTTTTTGTCTGTAAAAGCCTTCGTTGTATTGAAATATGTAGTGGTGAGGCAGAGGTCTAACAGTGTGCAGATCTGATCGGGTGTGAAGTTGGTCCTGTCCTCCAAGGAGCTGTCTTCTTGTAGTCGTTTTCTGACAGTCTCCACGGCCTCCGTGGTGGGTATGCAAGTGAAGAGAGAGACTACATCAAAGGACACCATGGTTTCATCTGGATCCAGGGTAAGTTTCTGGACCTTGTCGGTGAAGTCGGTGGAGTTCTTGATGTGGTGTGGGGTGTTCCCCACAGAGAGGCGCAAGGATGGTGGCAAGGTGTTTAGCAATGTTTAAGTGGCTGAGTTTATGCTACTGACTATGGGTCTGAGTGGGACAGCTTCCTTGTGGATTTTAGGAAGTCCATAGATGCAGGGTATGGCATCCCCTGGGTAAAGGCGGTGATATGTAAGGCGGTCAATAATTTTGTCCTTTTCAAAGTCTTGAAGGCAAGCTATAACTTTCTTTTTGTAGCTGCTTGTGGGGTCTCGCTTTAAGGCTTCGTAGGTATTGTTGTCACTGAGGAGAGTAGTGATCTTTGTGTGGTAATCTGTAGTGTTTAGGACCACGGTGCATCTTCCCTTATCAGCTGGTAAAACAGTGATGTTGTGGTCTTTGCTCAGGGAAGCGACGGCCTTCTTTTCCTGTATTGTGAGGTTGGATGGAGGGACTTTGGCACTGGAGAGCGTGGCTGAGACTTTCATCCTGATTTGCTCTGCTTCTGTCTGTGATAATTTATTAATCCGTATGGCAGATTCTGTGGCTGTGATGAGGTCCACTATGGGCAACTGTTGTGGAGAAATGGCAAAATTGAGTCCTTTGGCTAATACTCTCTTTTCAGGTTCAGTGAGAATCCTGTCTGAAAAGTTCTTAACCCATTTCTCCTGACTGACATCAGGTGTGTTTTCTTCTCTGGGTTGTATAGGTTCAGGATGAGGAGTGTGTGTTTTTGAAAGCAAGGTGTGAACACCTTGCTTTCACGATGACCTGGATGACTGAGAACCTTCACAGACGTACAGTACAGTTTGATAAAGACTAACCAAGCATGGCTTCTTTGGAAAATCTACCAGGAGAAAGCATCTTTATCCATTAGAACATGCGGTTCTATTTCATTCTGTTTTAGTATCGTCTAAGGACCTGATTCAGTCCTAATAAACAAAACCCTACAATTAAAAGAAGATGTATTTTTCACATGACTGTATATTACTCAACTGTTATATGATGGCAGTACAAATATCCACCACACAGTCTGCACGTGCGTTTAGTAATACTTTAATCCGTGTGGTTGGTTAGTGAGGAAGTCAGCTCCAGTTTTAGTGAGGCGTGGGGATTTACAAGTAAAGCTTCCTGTTGTTTTTCAGCAAGTAACAGCTGTGCTCGGCCTGTTTGTGGTGCAGCACAGAGCACCGAACCAGGAGAGAGTGTGTGTAGTTAGAGACTGATTGCAAGTAAGTGAACAATCCTTTTTGGTGAATGATCCATGTCCACCATGTGCATTACTGAAGCAGAGGAGACACAGCATGTGCACATGGCGTAGTGGCTCTGAGTGGCTGTTTGTGAGGTTGTGTACTTATCTGTGTGAACACAAAAATCTTCCTGTCTCCAGTGAAATAATGAACCACTGCTCTGAGCTGCCCATACACCCAGTGATGTAAGCAGTGGTGTCTGTGTTTGTGTTTAGGCCTGGTCTGAGTTTGACTTACAGAGGTATGACTTGGTGTTAGCTATTCCTTTAAGCCTCATCCCCGTGTGTGAGGCATCAAATGCTCCAGAGCAACAGCGGGACAGAGAAAGGTACAAACACTGTAAACCAATGTGACAGCTCATTTGTGTATGAGCCTCGGTGCTGAGCAGAGCTGAATTGTAAACAGATTCATCTAAAACCATGGATGGCTTTATTGATCCAAACGTCTGTATCTTGTGGTTCCCATAATTTACTCCAATGCTCTCTTCTGGCTTTTCCTTGACCCAAACTTTTTAAGAGCTCACATCTGTGAGGTTCTTTCAACCCCTGTTGTGGAGACGGCCCAGCAGCAGCTGCACTTTTTCAAGGGTTTAAGGAGGAATCAGTTGGTGCTGGTGAACTTTTACCGTTCTACAGTTGTTCTACACATGCCATTACTGTGTTGTATGCCGGCTGAGACTATAAGCCCTTGATGTCTCCTCTGACCAACCTCGTCACCTGGAAGGGTAGGAACCTGAGAAGGTTCCTCATCTGTGGTTCCCTCATCACAGACTTCACTAGGTCCCTGGTGGTGCAGTCCGGTACTCGGCCTGTAGATGGCCTTTGAGTAGGGAGGATTGCCATAGTCTGCCAATGGACTGTGTATGTTTTTAACTCTCTGAGCCTAGGAAAGGTTGAGGTCTTGTACAAGCCTTTGGGTGGTGCTTGGAGCCTCTCCACTCCCTTGTCAGCCTCATCAGCTGCAGTATAAATGAACCAGCTCTGCAGCCCAGTCTCTGCTAGATTATTATACTCACCTCTACAACCTGCCTGCTTACCCTTCAACAGCGTCTTCCCTCGTGGGGAAATCCTTTTTGAAATCCTCTGCAAAAAATCACCTGGACTAACTTATGTCTGTCCCCTTGAGCCTGCTTCTCTAGACCTGTGCAGTTCCCAGACTTCCGTTTCCTCCCTGTTGCAACATACAAAGTGCACATGTGTCCATATAAAAGCCTTTTGTCCATAACTGTTCCCTGTGGCCCTTTGATGTTGCTCCTGAGTCACCGCTTCAGCTGGCCACCATCAGCTGGACCAGAGAATAAACAGTATTAAAGTAGCAGGAGTAAAAAAGTAGAATGCTTACATAGAATATTGTTCTTGTTCTATGACAGTAAAGACGGTAATTTGTAAGTTTGCTCACTGATACAGAAATGAACAAGCTCTAATTTTTATGGTAGTGCAATTTTAATGGAGAGAGACAGAATATCAACCAAAAATCCAGAAAAAGCACATTACATAAAGGTTATATATTGAAGTGGATGTCACTGAGTGAAACAAGTATTGATCCCCTACAAACCAGCCAGAATTCTGGTTCCCACAGACTGGCTCAGTGGCACAGAGACTGTAATCAGTCAATCCATTACAAAAGCTCCTCGTCCAATCTCATTATATGTATAAAGCACACCTGTCCACAGAAGCATTTTCTTCCATTCCAACCTCTCCATCACCATGGGCAAGGACGAAGAGCTGTCAAAGCATGTCACAAGACTGTAGACCCACATAAGACTGGAATGGACAAGACCATCAGCAAGAAGCTCGGTGACACGGTGGCAGCTTTTGGTGCAATGATTCACAAATGGAATATATTGTATAATTCATGGTAAATGGCGGCCTAGCCAGTCTCCAGAGCTCAAAGCTATAGAAAGTCTATGGTCTTTATGGTTTTGAGGTCTGACAGCCTAAACTTGGCCAAAACTGGACTCAGGCAAAATGAAATGACCCCAAAGCAGCTGAAAAGAATGAAGGTGTTGCAACGGCCCAGTCAAGATCCATCAAGCAAAGTGGAACAGCTTGGCTGGACGTCGACACGGCCGGGAGGTGAATGCCTACAAAGCTGTGACGACACTCAACAATGTTGCACCACAGCAACAGGAAGATGTGCCAAAATCCTTCCATAATGGTGTGAGAAACTGATTACATGGAAGTTATATACAAAACCTCAATGTTTTTCACACAGTACATCTGCATTTTGGCTTAATGTGTACAAACAAGTAACTCCACTGTGTCATTCGTTGTTCTTTATGGATGCTTTGTTTTTACCATGACTCATGTTGGGAGTGTGTGTGTGAGCTTACGTTGGCACTGGGTTGCCCTTGGCCTCACACTCAATGATGATGTTATCTCTGGGGTCCACAATGTAGTTCTTTACTGACTGTTTCATGATAGTTGGGGGCTGCTTCACTGGGAGAGAAAAACAAGACAGTAGCTTTGGTAGAAGTTCACCACCTAATCACATCCACTGGAAGAAAACACAGCATTATTTGTAAAGAGTCATCATGGTATGGCATTTGATGCTTTCTATGAATGTTTAAGATGTTGAACACTTTCTATTATTACTGTGCTTTAGTAATAATGCAAACAGACAAACAGTCACTTGTAGCAGGTCCATAAATCAGCGTCTGATGAAAACTCTAGTACATTTACACTAGACTGTTGAGTTTAGTATGGGAATGTTATGTGAGGGGGGCTCCACAAGGACGACCTGGGACTAGATAGAGCATTGTTTATCAGAAACTGTTCAATAAATTCCATTTTTCTAAGTTTGAGAGATATTTGCTGAGATAGAAATAAAAGAAAGTTGAGATGTCCTTGATTGATTTGTGCTTGGCTCACTTTTTCACATGCTGCATCACAAATGTGCATGCCCTACAAAGTCAGGTCATCAGCAGAATGTTTCCCAATTTTACTTTTAACGAAGTCAATGACACGTCAGAAAGACCCAGACTGTCATATAGAAGCACATGCAAACAGTGCAGCCTCCTAATATGGCCTCTATTCAGAGGATGTTGCAGGAGTGACATTGAAGGCTCTTATGTTTTTACTGCACGTGCTCACTTTGGCTTACTAAGTGCATACTTTTGCTTTCACTTGCGACTGCTTGGTCAGGTTTAGACTGTGTATGAGGTTAAAATATGTTTATTGTACTCTTGAGTTTAAACTTTGCACTTGAAAATGATGATGATCCCCCAGTGCATTCAAATCTGGTCTTAAGTGAGGATTCATGACGGTGTTGATGGAGTCACAGCGCTGCTTTAATATTACAGTTTGGACCTTTTTTAAAGAATGCCACTGGCTTTGTTAAAACAACCATATATGACCCTCTGAGTGAAGGACAACAGGTTTGCTCTGTACTGAACGTGGGGACAAAAACATGTTAGAACACTTACAGTCTTGCTGGATCTTTGCTGTTAGTCCAAAGTAACGCCAAGGAGAAACAGAATAAGATGCACAAGTTGTGATTGTTAATCATATTAGAGACAAATACACATTAATATTGTACTATGTTACAGCTGTTATCATACACAGCTCAGTGGTTCCCAACTGGCCCACTAAGCTCATTTTAAGTGGGTCAACAACAATATTTAACAGTGGTAAAAATTCATGAAGTACTCCATGTAGGTGTGACTGTCTACAACCAGCTCTGCCAAGTGTCACTGTAGCTTTGCTATGTTGAGCTAACCCAGCAAGCACGAGCAGAGCCAATCATTTCAAGGAACGATCATGTGGGTACATTTATCTGTAGTATGGAAGCAGGTGTTCTCAGTAAAGGGCCCTCAGGTAGCAGACAGGGTTAGATCATGTTGAGAAAGGACTGCTTTGGTTTCCTGCAGACAATCCGTCTCCATATAAAGCTTTGGAGTCAGGTCCACATGCCAAGTACAAGGTTATCAAATAAGTGCACCAAAATTGCACCAAAAATCATCTACTTTCACCAAAAGGTGGAAGCTCGAGGAAGTGTTAATAGGAGGCTCCATTTGAAGTTGCTGATTTCTTTTTTTATATACACATTTCAAGACTTATAGATCAGATCTATACATATCTTCACAGACCCTATTTTTATCTTGAAAGTACTTTTTTCTCTTTTTAGATCTCACAAGTGCATTACTGGATATACAGGGAGTGCAGAATTATTAGGCAAGTTGTATTTTTGAGGAATAATTTTATTATTGAACAACAACCATGTTCTCAGTGAACCCAAAAAACTCATTAATATCAAAGCTGAATGTTTTTGGAAGTAGTTTTTAGTTTGTTTTTAGTTTTAGCTATTTTAGGGGGATATCTGT